ATTTCTGGCGGTTTATTACAAAAATGTCATTTTGTGCGATCACTAAAAGTATGGCCGGTTTGTGACCAAACGGTACTGACATTAGTGGCACAAAATTGCCTTAATTTGTATGAAATTGACTGCCGTTTTGACGGTTCTCAACAAATTGATGATAATATTTGGTGTTTGTTTGCAACAAATTGTGGTAAAACTCTTGAGAAAGTAATTATACGCTCTTGTAACCTGGATCAGTTTTATTCGGGTATGTGTTTACGTAATCTTATAAAATTGCTAACTTTTTTGTATTTATTTTATGTAATATTATAAAGAATAAATACAATAAATGTAATATAACTAATTTATTAATTATAGATGTGTTTCTCTCACACCTCATAAATTTCCACACTTTTTATGAAAAACTTCAAAACATTGGTTTAGGAATTGATTCCCAAAAGTGTTTAAAACTATTCAAACAATTTGCTGATAATTATTGCCAAACAATAACTTCATTGCAATTGACGTTAAAATTCAATGAAAATTACAGGAATTTCATGAAAACATTTGAAGCGATTTCACGCTTTAATAAACTAAAAACATCGAAACTAATACTTGAATCAAATGAGCATTTTGTTGTAGATTTAACACATGGCGTGAACTTATTGGCCAAACACTGTTCACAATTGACATCATTGGCACTTGAGGTCAAAGATTACGTTCAAATGGCATCACAACCAGTATTGTTAAACATTGAATCGCTAATCAATTTGATTAACCTGGATATAAAAATTAGATCCCATGTGATTGCTGCTAATCCTCCTAAATTCAAAAAGAGAGCAAATAGTTATAGGTATTAAATTGGTTAACTGTAAATTAGTTAATTGCTAATTGATATAAATAATTATAATAATTTTTTTACAAATGTTATAATTTTTAAATAGATTTTTCTTCAACTGTTTATTTGCTGAAAATGATGAGTTGGAAACACCGCCCGAACCCATAGAGTTGGGATCACTGGCATCACTGAAATCAATGAAACAATTGAATTCATTACATATTCTGTACAAGAATTTAAATGATAATCATTTTGAAAACATTCACGATTATTGTCCACAACTCAAGCGTTTAGTTTTGAAAACACAACAAAAGTTGTCAAACCAAACGTTGCATTCCTTATCAAAACTAAAATCACTGCAATTATTGAAAATATATTCAACGCCTTATAAAATGACTGAAATATCTGATAACGGGATCTGTCATCTCATAGACAACTGTCCACATCTGCGGGTATTAACGTTGAAATGCGGGACAACTGTTACCGACACCACATTTGATGCCCTCAAGAGTCGGGCCAACCGATGGCCGCACAGACTGTTTGTATTTGAATACTGTTGGCGACGGACTAAAGAGCAGCACTCAATTGTATGGACAGAAAACGATGGTTTTGTAAACTCACACAGATTTTGGCCACAACTCCTATCAATGCCCGAAAATTTAATTATTTATAGCCGCGAGTATTACACGGGTTGGTGCGGCACCGGTGCTCTCACTGAGCAAAATGAATATGCTGATTTATTTAAGATTGATAAGGAATGCGATGAAAATGAACATGCTACAGTGGATTATGGTGAATATAGAGGTGATAAATATTGTTTTACTGTTTAAGTTATTTACTGAATGTGTCAAACATAATAAAAATATGAAATAAGTCTATGTTTCAGCTATTTAAAAATTATTATTATTAAATTATTACAAATTTATTTTTAAAATTATATTTAAGTTAGCGCCATGCATAAATAAATTATAATTAAATGCTGTAATGTTTGATTACTTTATTTTTATTGATAGTTGCCAAGTGCATTGCTGTCATATGCTGCGATAGTTATACTATAATACCTGTATAGTAACTTATACAGTAAAATAACTTACTGTGAGCAAAAGTATTAAAACAATTGTTGCCCAGTACAATAAATAAATTTATAATTTTAATTGTAAAGCATAATTTGCATTAAATAGATTTTATAAATAATAATTAACATATGAGGGACTGAGAGCAGAATAAACGTCCAGTTTTAATGTTGTCTTTACTGCAATGTCTATTATGCACTGCTATAGCATATACAATAGACATTGCAGTAAAGACAACATTAAAACTGGACGTTTATTCTGCTCTCAGTCCCTCATATACTTTTGTATGTAACAATATTAAACATTAAGTTATATGAGCGTTAAATGATCTATGTAAAAATGTTTACTAACTGGTGTTCACTATACTATTTTTGTTGGCAATATTTTAATACATGAAAGAAATGATCAAATGTTTACGTGTAGTCGATGTTAGATTACATGATGTAATCATGTTATGTGAAATGATTCATTTACAAAACAATTGAGATTAGTTTGAATTAATTTAATTAATAAGTTTTTTTTTATTTTAATTTATAAGTTAATTCATTCGACAAAAATGTCATTTAATTTTGACGACAATTTATGTTCACTAATCCTATCGTATCTGTCAATTGAGGACCGGATAAGACTAGAGTGTGTGTCCAAACAGTGGCACCGATTGGCATATAATAGTGTCCACGAGTTGTCTTATCCTATTTGGTGGCTTAATCACAGGTATAGCAATGAACTGACCGATAGGCAAAAGTTGCATATTTCTGGCGGTTTATTACAAAAATGTCATTTTGTGCGATCACTAAAAGTATGGCCGGTTTGTGACCAAACGGTACTGACATTAGTGGCACAAAATTGCCTTAATTTGTATGAAATTGACTGCCGTTTTGACGGTTCTCAACAAATTGATGATAATATTTGGTGTTTGTTTGCAACAAATTGTGGTAAACCTCTTGAGAAAGTACTTATACGCTCTTGTAACCTGGATCAGTTTTATTCGGGTATGTGTTTACGTAGTCTGATAAAATGGCATTGCTAACTTTATAACTATTTTATTAATTTTAGACGTGATTCTCTCACACCTCATAAATTGCCAGACTTTTTATGAAAAGCTCCGGAATATTAGTTTAGGAATTGATTCCCAGAAATATTTAAATCTATTCAAACAATTCGCGGATAATTATTGCCAAACAATAACTTCATTGCAATTGACGTTAAAATTCAATGAAAATTACAACGAATTTAATGAAACATTTGAAGCAATTTCATGTTTCAATAAAATAAAAACAATAAAACTAATACTCGAAAGTAATGAGACATTTGCTGTGGATTTATTATCTGGTTTAAACTTGGTATCCGACAAATGTGCCCGATTGACATCACTGGCATTGGAGCTCCGGGATTGCATTAAACTCACAAAATTATCTCTACTAACAAACTTGTATAATATAATTACAAGATCATCGCAATCAACATCTATACTATCAAACTTGCAATCGTTAGACATACATATGAGGACTCATACGAGAGATATGTTTTCAATGAACTTTTTAAAAGGGATTAAGGATTTACAAGCGATCAAGATTCAATGCAATGGTGTTCATGATGGTCATTTCCAGCACATTGATAAATGGTGGCCATGTTTAAAAAGTTTAACCCTTATAACAGATCACAAATTATCAAATGACATATTGTTTTCGGTTTCAAAGCTAAAATCAATACAAGTGTTGGCATTATATTCAACGCCTTATATGTTGACAGACATATCGGACGCCGGGATCTGTCATCTCATAGACAACTGTCCAGATCTAAGGGTATTAACACTGAAATGCGGGACAACTGTTACCGACACCACATTTAATGCGCTGAAGAGTCGGGCAAACCGATGGCCGCACAGACTGTTTGTATTTGAATTCTGTTGGATAAGGACTGAAGAGCAGAGCGCTATATTGGGTCAAAGCTACGATTACACCAGAGCTGACATATTTTGGCCACAATTGCTATCAATGCCCAAGAATTTAGTGATATATAGTCGAGAGTATTTTTGTCGCTCGTGTAGCGCCAATCTGGTGTCAGAGATGATGTACCATGGTGCTAGATTTGTTACCAACAGGGATTGGGATGAGAATAATCAATGGATGGTTGAGTATAATAAGGACAGGGCTGAAGATGTTTACGCGATTAAAAAGTATTGCTTTTACGGTGACTTCGATCCCAGACATGTGTCAGATATGATCCACTATAAGACTAATAGCTTTAATAATTTATAAATTAGTTTAGCAATAATTAAAATACTACAAGCATTTTGTTAACAAATTTATTATATAAACGTAAAATTACATAATATGTGAAAAGTACACTAATTACTTGTTAGTTATGCTAAAATGCACTAATAATTGTGTATTTAAATACATTCATCGTAAATATGAAATATTAATTTATTAAAACAACAAAAAATTAACCGACATTTCCATTACAAGAGACATAATTATAATTATTGTTCAATAATAAATAGAGTATATATTATAATTTATTAATTTTGCCTGAATAGAAATTATTTTAATTGATAAAAGTAAATATTCGAATTATATTGCAAAATTATTATGTTAATTTCTTGAATCGTTAATGTCATCAGTAATCTTTGTTGTATTTTGAAATCTGAAATTATTAAATTTAATAACATAATTGTTCTATGTATTATAAACCACTAGGGAATTTATAAACTTACCATAATTATATTTGCAGTATTTGGTGCCTTTATTTACAGCACTCGCAGTCACAACTGCCTCCCTTACAGTTGCAGTTATCACATCCGCCGCACAGAACTATTGACTTCATGTTTCACAACAATTGCTATGAATTCACAACTTTTGAAAATGTTTTTTTGTTTTTAAAACAATTACTTGTTTTTGATTATTCCGGACAGAGATTCGCATCCCTTTTTAAACCATGTTCATTGAGTGCTGTGCGCAAAAATATGCGGGTTGTGTGCAAAATATCGTGGTGTCGGGTGCAAAAAATGAGCGAGCTGTGTGCAATAAAAAGTATCTAATCATTGCATTATGCAATTTGCGTATAATCATCATGGGTATTTCCATGTTCATTCGCCTAACATAACAGCAATAACAACATTATCTAATCTTTAAATATAAAGATAAATTTTGTATTACATGTACAAAGAGTTTGCGAGAATAAGCTATAATTTTTATTGCACACATCTCGCTCAATTTTTGCACCCGACACCACGATATTTTGCACACAACCCGCATATTTTTGCGCACAGCACTCAATCAATTGGGTTTAAAAAGGGTGCCAATCCCTGTCCGGAATAATCAAAAACAAGTAATTGTTTTGAAAACAAAAAACATTTCCCAAAGTTGTGAAGAAATAACCATTTGTTGTGAAACATGAAGTCAATAGTTCTGTGCGGCGGATGTGATAACTGCAACTGTAAGGGAGGCAGTTGTGACTGCGAGTGCTGTAAATGATAGATCCCGGGGCCGATGGATCGCACTGTAAGTGTTACTATGATTACAAAATACTTTGTAATGAATATTTTAATTGGGTTTTCAACAATTTGAAATTTTTAATTAATTAAATTTTATTTATGCATTCATTACAGATATTTGTAGAAATCGTATGAAGATGTTTGTGTTGAAACTTTTAATGAAAATATGTTTTTAAATCTCACACTTTTAAATAATGAAATAAAATTTGTTAAAACATTGACTAAAATTTTGAATAAATAAAACGATATTCTATAAATAAAGCAATTCAATCTTTATTAAAAATTACATATATTTTATTTTATAAACATTTATGCTTATATTATATTTAAAACAATTTCAGTTTAATTATTTATTATCATGCACAAACACATGCCTGGAATACGATCTAATATCTCCTTCCATATTCTTATCGTATATAATAAATAGTTTTCAATAGTTTTCAAGTGTACAAAAAATAAAAACATAGATTTCGTAGATATACAGTAGTGATTGAAAATCTAGTATTGGTATTGCAATACAATACAATACCAATACCAATAATATTGCAATACTCGCAATACAATATTATTGCAATACTCGCAATACAATAATATTGCAATACTCGCAATACAATATTATTGCAATACTAGCAATACAATACAATACCAATAATATTGCAATACTTTGGCAATATTTTGGCAATATTTGTCAATATTGCAATACAATACAATACCAGTACAATACCAATATTCTTGCAATATTAGGCAATATCAATACAATATTGTGAGTCGTACTCTGAGGCAATATCAATACAATACCAATACCCAAAAATTCAAGTTTTTCAATCACTAATATACAGTACATTTGTGTCATTATGATAATTTGTGGAAAATATTGTGTGAGTGATATATTGGCAAATGTTTAAATGTTACAATTAATTTATTTTGTTTTATTTAATTTCCTGGATTTTATTTTAGCTATGATATCAATAAAAATTATTATTTATGCACTGTTTCAGAGTTTAATCACAATATAATACTTCATTTAGGAAATTACAAGTTTTAATTTTTATTAAATTCTTTAATTTATGATTAAATTCTTTAATTTATGATTAAATTCTTTAATTTATGATTAAATTCTTTAATTTATGGTATAAATTATTAATAATAACAAAAATCAATGGACAGCGCAAATAACCTTTTAATACAGCCCTCACCCACACTATCCCTTCAATGGATAACAGTATTCACAGTATTATTACAGAGACAACAGATTCACGACTCGTTCGCCGATCGGATACTAACGAAGAGTACGTATGACTTAATAGTCGTGGGCGCCGGCAGTGCGGGTGCTATAGTTGCCTGTCGTTTGGCCAACAAATACGGCAATAATGTACTGCTATTAGAGGCGGGTGCGGCTCAGGACGCCGTACTGACAGACATTCCCGGTATGTTTGTCTACAGTTCTAAGGACTCGAGCCGTTTCTGGCATTATGTTAATCAACCGCAACCAGAGGTCGGGCAGGCGTTTGTCAATCGCCAGGTGACTGAATCTATGGGTCGGGTATTGGGCGGCGGATCCACAATGAATCGCATGATTTACAATAGGGGTAATCATAAGTATTACGACAGTATTGTCAGTGACTTCGGTGCCAACGGTTGGAGTTATGCCGAAGTGTTGCCGTATTTCAAGCTCTCGGAAAACAATACCGACCCTAACGTCAGTTCCGTATATCACGGCCGCAGTGGACCGGTAGGGGTGTCATCACCGGACATAATAGACCCTATGTTATTAGCATGGCAAAAGGCGATAATTGAACAAGGTTTTCCCATTGTAGACATCAATGGGCGGACACAATATGGCAGAAGTATTTTACAGATAACAGCAAAGGATGGTCTGAGACAATCCACAGCCAACTCATACTTAGAAATGTCAAACATATGCCCCGATTTAAATATAGTAACAGGGTCGTATGTGACCAAGGTACTTATTAAAAGTACATCAAACGGTCCAATGGCTTATGGCGTAGAGATGACAATGGGATACAAACACTATACTATTGAAGCTAAACAAGAAGTTATAGTGTCTGCTGGTATTGTTGTCTATATTATAAACTTATTATTCATACTAGATAATTTTATAATTAACCATATTAATATCTAAATACTACGTGACAGGTACGTATGGTTCGGCACACTTATTACAATTGTCTGGTATCGGCCCCCGAGAACTGCTAAACACTGTGGGCGTAGGGCCCGTATGGGCTGACCTGCCTGTGGGTCAACATTTGCAAAACCATATTGGCTTCGCTATACCGATGCTCATCGTTAACACGAGCGCAGTATTGCCGGGACCGCAGCTCAATGTGCAACAAATGTACCAGGCACTATTTGGCCAACACACAGGTCCCATAGCATCCCAGAATATTGCTTACCTGTTGTTCAACTCGAGCGTAAATTCTGACTGGACTTACCCAGATGTAATGAATGAAGTGACCTTGGTCACTCAGCACGGACTTGGCTCAGTGAACGGCGCGCCCATAGGCGAGCAACGCAAGTCTGAATGGGATAGTTATTTTGAGCACCTGTCTTATAACAATTTTTTGGAAGTGAGCCCGGTGCTTTTGCGGCCAAAAAGTGTCGGCTCCGTATGGATAAACACGACCGACCCGTACGCTCTGCCCATTATTAATAACAACTATCTGAAACACCCGGACGACAGACGGGCTCTATTGGACGCCATTTCGTACGCCTATTATGTCATTGAAATGACATCTATCCGTCAGTACGCGTACGTCAACCCGCAGCCAATGCCCGGCTGTCGGTACTGCCCGACTGGACCCGTATGGCAGTGCCAGTCGTATCACAATTGTATGATTCAACAAAGTGCCAGAAGCTTTCAGCACCCGGTGGGCACGTGCCGTATGGGCGGCCCCGGGAGGCGGGATGTAGTGGTGGACGAGAGGCTACGAGTGAGGGGTGTCCGCAATCTAAGGGTTATCGACTCANGGGCACGTGCCGTATGGGCGGCCCCGGGAGGCGGGATGTAGTGGTGGACGAGAGGCTACGAGTGAGGGGTGTCCGCAATCTAAGGGTTATCGACTCATCGGTTTACCCGACAGTTATTAACGCCAATGTAAACGCAGCGACAATGTTGGCCGGCGAGAAGGGGGCTGACATGATCTTACAGGATCATGATAATGCCCATGGTAATGTCCATAGTCAAAACTGGAATTACCCTGATGATTGGGATAAAAGAAAATTATTACTTACGGAAATAAACAATACAATTGCAGCAGGTGTGGAAAATTAGTTTAATGTCGTTTTGTTTATTACATGAATTACATAAACATTTAATACAATAGATTTAAAATTAATCGTACAAAATAATTAACAATTGTCTAATAATAAAAAATAATTAAATGTAATTGTTTATTTGATGGTTAAACACATTAATATAATTAGAAAGTTAAATGTTATATGTATTGAACTGAATATATGGATACAACAGTTTATAATTTTATGCTCTATTAATTATTATGCATTGTTAATTAATACTAGATAATTATAATGTGTGTTGAAACAAAAAAGCTGTGAAAATAAAATTATAATAACAAAGTGTGTTTTTATATAACTGTTTAGGTAATTCCACCACTGTATACATCAATTAAATTTTTAATTAAATTAATAACGTAATTTTAATATAAAATAAACATCAAGAATAACCTGGATCCTTTAATAGTTCCCTTCCCTACACTATCCATACAATGGATGGCTGTATTCACAGTATTATTACAGAGACAACAGATTCACGACTCGTTTGCCAATCGGATACTAACGAAGAGTACGTATGACTTCATAGTCGTGGGCGCCGGCAGTGCGGGTGCTATAGTTGCCTGTCGTTTGGCCAACAAATACGGCAATAATGTGCTATTGCTTGAGGCGGGTGGGGCTCAGGACGCTATAATGACTGACCTTCCGGGAAGTTTTTTCTACAACCTTCAGGCACCGACCCGTATCTGGCCGTATGTCTCCGAAGCCCAACCAGAGGTGGGTCAGGCGTTTGCTAATCACACGGCACCCGATGTTACGGGAAAGGTATTGGGCGGCGGATCCGCAGTTAACTATATGGTCTACAATAGGGGTAATCATAAGTATTACGACAGTATTGTCAGTGATTTCGGTGCCAACGGTTGGAGTTATGCCGAAGTGTTGCCGTATTTCAAACTCTCGGAAAACAATACCGACCCTAACGTCAGTCCCGTATATCACGGCCGTAACGGACCGGTAGGGGTGTCAACACCGGCCACAGTAGACCCTATTTTACTGGCCTGGAATCAGGAGCTCAATAGACAGGGCTTTCCTATTGTGGACTTTAATGGGCGGACACAATACGGCACAAATGTTGTGCAGTTGACTATCAAGGATGGTAAGAGACAGTCCACTGCTAACGCTTATATTGAATCGCCAACAATATGCCCAAAATTAGATATATTAACAGGGGCCTATGTTACCAAGGTGCTCATTAAATGCCAACAACAGTGTCCAATGGCTTATGGAGTAGAGTTTACACGAGCTAACAAAAGATATAGCGTTAAGGTTAATAAAGAAATAATTATATCAGCAGGTATTGTATATTGATTTATATTTATTTAAAACCTATACAAAATACCTAGAATCAAATATGGGATTGTGTTATTAAGGTTATTTATGTTTGGTTATAGTTTAGTAAATTTATGTAAAAAAAGGCGGGTGGGGCTCAGGACGCTATAATGACTGACCTTCCGGGAAGTTTTTTCTACAACCTTCAGGCACCGACCCGTATCTGGCCGTATGTCTCCGAAGCCCAACCAGAGGTGGGTCAGGCGTTTGCCAATCACACGGCACCCGATGTTACGGGAAAGGTATTGGGCGGCGGATCCGCAGTTAACTACATGGTCTACAATAGGGGTAACCATAAGTATTACGACAGTATTGTCAGTGATTTTGGTGCCAACGGTTGGAGTTATGCCGAAGTGTTGCCGTATTTCAAGCTCTCGGAAAACAATACCGACCCTAACGTCAATCCTCTATATCACGGCCGTAACGGACCGGTAGGGGTGTCAACACCGGACACAGTAGACCCTATTTTACTGGCCTGGAATCAGGAGCTCAATAGACAGGGCTTTCCTATTGTGGACTTTAATGGGCGGACACAATACGGCACAAATGTTGTGCAGTCGACTATCAAGGATGGTAGGAGACAGTCCACTGCTAACGCTTATATTGAATCGCCAACAATATGCCCAAAATTAGATATATTAACAGGGGCCTATGTTACCAAGGTGCTTATTAAATGCCAACAACAGTGTCCAATGGCTTATGGAGTGGAGTTTACAAAAGCTAACAAAAGATATAGCGTTAAGGTTAATAAAGAAGTGATTGTATCAGCAGGTATTGTATATTGATTTATATTTATTTAAAACCTATACAAAATACCTAGAATCAAATATGGGATTGTGTTATTAAGGTTATTTATGTTTGGTTATAGTTTAGTAAATTTATGTAAAAATAACATTGTTATGTACTTAAAATCTCATTAATTATTTACCGGAATATTACCAATTAATTATGGTTAAATTAACTTTTAATGTTACTAGGTCCTTTTGGATCACCAAAATTGTTGCAATTATCAGGTATCGGGCCTCAAGAACAACTAAATGGGTTAGGTATTGAGCCGGTGTGGGCCGACCTCCCAGTTGGACAGTATTTACAAAATCATGTCGGAGTTGTAATACCATATATCATCAAAAATTATAGTATCACTGTATTGCCCGGTCCCGAGCAGAGCGTGCAACAATTGTACCAGGCTGTTTATCAAAACACGGGTCCAATGGCCGCCCAACCCCTCGTATACACCATGTTCAACTCTAAGTTAAACACTGACCCGACGTACCCGGACCTGCTCTACCACACGTCGTTCGTGGCCAGGGGTGGTATCGGCACCGCAAACAGCGTACCCGTAGGCTATCG